ACACACGGGGACTGCATTCCTTTGACTGTCAGCTGTGGTGCTGCTATAATTTATAGCAGTTATTTATTAGGCTATTGCAAAGATACAGAGAGATGCTACAAGAATAAGAATCAACACATATAACACACACACACACACACACACACACACACACACACACACACACACACACACACACACACACACACACACACACACACTATAGGAATTAGAGGGATGTTTGGTTGATGGATGAGTGATGTGCCACCATGCACTTCTGCATGCGTCTGTTGGGGGGCGTGAGAGTCGCTCCTATAGGTTCGCATGATAATTACATCGTCCGTCTTGCATAATATCAAAAATCTCAGAGGGTGGGAACAGTGTTACCTCACTGATTCACAAGGGGGTGGGCCTTGGACAGCGTATATGATTTTGGACAAATGAGATGTTAAACCACTTGGAGACAACGGTGCTGGAGATGTAGCCATCCTGGCGGACAGCCCCAACTCCCCCGTGTGCCGCGGGGAGGACCGGGGCTGTGGATGTAGAGGGAAGCCGTCTGACGACATGTGAGTGGAGAGAAAAAAAATAAAGAGGACCCGTAAAATTTTTAAAAATGGACGGGGCCGGTGGGACGTCACGATGCGTCGTCGCCACAAAGCTCTGTACGCCGCTCATGAACGCGCTCATTTGGCTCCCAGCATGCCGCACGTCCGGAGAGACCAGCGCTTTCCAGGAGCTCAGCTGAACCCAGTGCAGCACACCCTGCTGCACCCGTGTAGGAGAAAGTAAGAACCGTGTTTTGTGTAATAAGTGATTTGTGTGTGTGCGAGTGTGTGGCGGCACGACTCGGGGTTAAAAAAACAGAAAGCTGCAGGAGCCGAGCAGCACTGAGGGTTTTAAGGGTACAACATGCTGATGTATTTTGTCCCCATTGTGCATGAAGTGAGGACTCGTAAGGCGCAGCAAAGCTTTGAGATTTTCTTCAAGTGAGGCTTGTTTTTGATAGATAAATGATAAAAGATGCGTGGACGATGCGCACCATCAGCATCTGAGATAAAGGCTCCAACGATGGTACGATGGCAGCAGCGCAGACGTGTAGTTTCACTTGTGGCTGCAAACACTTTTGTTTGGCACCAGAAAGCACATGTGTGCACAAATCTGACCGCAGGAGTGAGTTTAGCGGGTTTTTATTGACTTACGGTTGGTCACAGGTGATCTGTTTTCGATAAGTTTTCTCTCTCGTTTGTTGGTATAAAATTGTATGTTGCACGCTCGGGATTAATGGTCACTGAGATCCCCTTTTTCCTCTCCCCTCCCTCTGTTTAGCCCACCTTTGTCTAAAAGGTGACTCTAGTAGTAGCAGTGGGTTGGTGTTTACTGACGCAAACGAAGCAACATTGAATTTACTTTTTGGACTATTCCGTTTTTTCCGTTGATGCTGACCTTGGATCAACCATATGCTGTGTTGTTATTGTGCTTAAGTTCACGTTGCGTCATTTTAAAGAGTTCACAGACTGGAGGGACATAAGTTCTCCTCTAACTGATCTCATATGTAATCATAATGTGGAAGTGAGAGTCTAACACCGGCCTGTGTTGGTGATGGTGTTGGAGTGGCCTCGGGCGCCATAGCCTTTTGCAGCCTTATGTTGTTTGGCCTGTTTGCTGTCAGCCGATTACGCACTGGAAAGGCTAAGCAAAAAGGCCAAGGTGATTACTGTACGTGAACCCAGCAGCGCTCCTGCAGGGCTTCATGTAGCCCGGGATTATACACCCCGGTGCCAGCATAGCGCTCTGCCCGGAGAGCTCTTACATAAGGCCCGCTTAATCTGTGTGAGAGGGAATCAGACTTCATGCGTGTTTGGACTTTTTAACATCTGACTGACATTGAAATGTTACGCGCAGCTCCTCCAAAAAGATGCTCCCTCATTTGGAGCTCATTCTAGATCCTCTCTTCAATAAAAACTGTTTTGATTGCAAAAGAAACACGTGCAAAGGATCCATTTGCTGTCTTCTTCATTACTGAACCCCAGAACAGCACAATTCACATGTGCACATGTACAGCAAAGGACCAGGTGGTAGTGATGGTGGTCCTGCAACATAAGAAACAGGAACCGGCATATAGGTGTTAATATGACTCAGCAGTTAAACTGAACAGGTGAATCCAGGTGCACGATCAAGCGTTCACTGACCTCCTCCCACACGTTACATTGACGCCGTGT